CAATCTCTGCTCACTGCAACCTCCACCTCTTGGTTTCAAGCTGTTCTCCTGCCTCAGCCTCCTAACTGGGATTACAGGTGCACACCACCACACCTGGCTAATTTTTGTATTTTTAGTAGAGACGGGGTTTCACCATGTTGGCCAGGCTGTAACTTCTGACCTCAAGTGATCCACCCACCTTGGCCTCCCAAAGTGCTGGGATTACAAGCATGAGCCACCTGGCCCAGCCCACAGAGGAGGTTTAATTGACTCACGGCTCTGCACGGCTGGGGAGGCCTCAGGAAACTTACAATCATGGTGGACGGGGAAGCAGACATCTTCTTCACAAGATGCAGGAGAAAGAAGTGCAAGCAGGGGAAATTCCAGAGGAAGCCTGGGCCCAGGTGACTACTGAGGCCGGGAAGTCCCACGCCTGCCCCCGGCTCGCTGGGACCCAGGGGAGTCGGTGGTGCAGTGTGGTCTGAGTGAAGGCCCGAGAGCCGGCGGGGGGTGGTCAATGGCGTTATTCTTAGTGCCAGGGCCAGAGAAGGTGAGGTGAGTGTCCCAGGTCAAGCAGCGCCACAGGGAGAGAGGGGCCTTCCTGCCTTCTGCGCTATTCAGGTCCTCAGCGGATTGGGTGACGCCACCCACCCTGGGGAGGGCGGCCTGCTTTACAGAGCCCACTGACTCAAATGCTGGTCTCATCCAGGAACACCCCCAGACAGCCCCAGAAATACCGTTCAATCCGGCACCCCGCGGCCAGGGGAGCTGACGCATAAAGTTAGTGGCCACACGCCCGTGTGAGAGGGCGGCGGCGGGCGCTGCTGCTGTCTGGACTCTGACCTCGGCCGTGTGGGTCGCTGCAGCCCCCGCCCTGGATGTCCGTAGCTCCCACCCAGCAGGGAGGAACCTGCCCCACCACCCACCGTCCACTGACCTGATCGCTAAGCTCCAGCGTGCAGGGGCAGCGGTGTCGGGATTGCTCACCTGGACCCCACGGCCACGCCCCTGTCTACCAGGGTTCGGGATTGCTTTTGGTCTCATGGACTTCACCACGTGTGAGGGTTCCCAGGTCAGCCCCTTCCCTGGCCCCTCCCTACGTCCATAACCATCTAGAGGCTCTCGCCACACACGCCTGCCTTCCGTCCTACACAGCCTCTTAACTGAGCTTTAAAATTTGTATACATTAAGGCTCACTCTTGCTGCAAAGTTCTATGGTTTTGACAGTCGCATAGTGTCATGTCTTTGTCAGTACGGTGTCGTTCACATTAGTTTCATGGCCCTAAAAACCCCCTGTGCTCCACCCATCCAACCACTTCTTCTTTCCCAAACTCCTGACAACAGCTATTTTCACAAATGTATTTTTGTGGTGGGTTTTTGGTGAACAATTTTATCAAATTAGAAATATTTCATTTGTTTCAACTTCTAATTTGCTCAGAAATTTTTAAAAAGTCACCAATGGCATTACTTGAGACATTGGGACACTTTTTGCCCTGTCATCTAGTCAGAGGGTATTTGCATGGATTGGATTCGGATATTAAACCTTCCTTGAATTCCTGGGAAAAACCGTTAGATCTATCAGGTCCCAGCAGGAAAGAGACTCACATTTAGACTGTGTTACTTGCAGCAGGGTGTAACAAAGGGGCTCTTTATGAAGGTGGGGCAGAGAATTGGAAACTTCAAGGGGCAGTGCATGCCCCAGGGCTGGCCAAAGGCATGCCTGGTGAAGAGAAGTTTCTGGAATGTGAAGGAGAGTGCTGTGGAGAGGAAGACTCCTGGAGAAGAGCCATGACATTCCCAAGGTCACCTGACACAGTCGTCTGCCATCGTCTGCAGATCACATGTCAGCTTATTTAGCAAGCCCAACAGAAGGGACAGGAAAACTTACTATTACAAACACATAATTCTCCCCAGATGGACATGATAAATTCAACGCAATCCTAATCAGAGTCTCATTGGGCTTCAATTTTTTAAAAGAAATCAGTAAATGTACTCTCCATTTTACATGGAAGAATACAGATTAAAAGCAGCTAAGATGGCTTGAGAAAGCAGAAGACAGACAGGGTGCTTGCTCCTGCAAAGCCAAGTAGCTGAAAGCAGCAATGGAAGAGGCTGGGCCAGTGGAGGGAGACCCAGGATGCCCTGGGTAGGGCTGGGTGGGAGAGAGGGCTCCGCCAGTTGTTTCTTCCTGGCACCCTGTGGAGCTGAGGTTTGCCTAATTAGTACCTATGCTTGGTGGGGAGGAAATGACAGCAGAGGGCACCAGGCTGCTGCTTCTCACTTCTGGGCCTCCAGGGTCCCCAGGCAGGCATGCCTATCCTGGCAGGCAGGTCTCGGGCCTCAGGTCTGAACATCTGAATGTCTGTGCACCCCTGCTGGGGCCCCTCTCCGTCCTGCGGGCCCCTGGTGCTGGCTGGGGCTCCCTGAGGATGCCTGGGAGGCTGTGGGTGCTGCAGGCGCTGTTGGCTGGTTATAGTCACAACAGCCCCCCGAAGTGGGGTGGGGGCACCTTTCCTCCCACTTCACAGAGAAGGAAATGGGTCCTGAGAGGTAGCAGCTTTCCCATGTGCAGGTGGGGCCAGGACTTGAACCCAGGTCCCTGAGGACCTGAACCCAGGCCTCTGCTCTTTCTCCCCAAGCTTCCAGACAGAGAAGGGGAGGGGGTGGCAACGGTCATTGGGAGGGGCTCCAGATGGAGGTCGGGGCAAGGGAGTGCCCGGTGGGCGGCCTGGGGTGGAGGCACTCAGGGAGCCCAGATTGGGGCACATGGGAGGAGGAAGTCCCCAGAGGACGCAGGCCCTGCCATTGTGCCTCCAAGGTCAGAACAACCCACACTGGCCAGGCAGGACTTGCAGCTCCCGGCCACAGCCATCAGAGCGGAAGTTCATGTCTCAGCTGAGGTGTCAGATGCACCTGGCCCTCTGCTAAAAATACTCAGGCAGTGTGGGGTCCAGTGGAGTGCTGCAGGGTGGGTCTGGGTGGGGATCCCAGCGAAGCCAGAACAGGTGCCCATGACCTGCAGAGTGGCACCATGTGGCAGGGTGGGAGGATGCTGGGCCTGCAGACCAGCTCCACGGGGGAAACTGAGGTGGGGTGGGAAGGGTGCGGCTAGTCGCTGGCCCTCAGAGTCCCTGTTTGTGGCTTTGCTGGTACATTGTGAAGCCTGTGCAAGGTGGGAGGCCAGAGGCCATAGGCTGGCGGGAACCTGAGTGTCCTGGGCTGCCCAGAATGTGCTGCCTTAGTTTACCCAGCTCTACCACGCAGAGATCAACTGAGCTCGCCCCTCCCTTTCTCACCGGTGGTCAGTAAGATTCGGGTGGTGCAGGACATTGCCTGAACAGACGTGGAGGTGGAGGGGGGTTGAGGTGGAGGGGGCTGTGGCGTACTCTGCAATAATGGGGGGGCAGGTGTTGGACGCTGGGGTACTAGAATCAGGCCCTGTGACCTCAGGGAGGCTTACCTGGCTTCTGGTTCCCAATCCCCTGCTGGGGTACACCGCAGATGGGAGTCCCTCTCCTGATGCAAGGGTGGGGCAGGAGCAGGGAAGCTTCAGAGGGAGGGGCTCTGCACTGGGAAGGAGGGAGGGTCCTGAGGAGGAGGGGGCCCTGTCACTGGTCAGGGCGGGTCACTCTGACGTCAGTCTCACTGTCGAGGGGGTAATGTTGCTGAGACCTTTGTGGGCTTGGGGTTCCCGTGGCCCCCACCAGAATCCAGGACTACCAGGGTAGGGGGTGCTGGTGGCTTCTGAGTCCCTTCCCACACTGCCCCCACAGCAGACCCCTCCCAAGAGATTCCAAACACTCCCCACTACTCGGGAAGGGTGGAGCCCCCTTCCTCTGGGACCTCCTGCCCGGAGTCACCTCCTCTGGGCCTGCGTAGCCCTCCTGGAGAGGGAGTGCAAGGAAGGTGCAGCTGGAGGGCTTTTGGGGATCACCGGCCAGCAGCAGGCAGACAGAAAGACTCTGGGAGTCAAGCTCTGACTTTTTTTGAGACAGGGTCTCGCTCTGTCACCCAGGCTGGAGTGAAGTGGTGCGATCTCAGCTCACTGCAACCTCCATCTTCTGGGCTCAAGTGATTTTCCTGCCTCAGCCTCCCAAAGTACTGGGATTATAGGCCTGAGCCACCACTTCCAGCCTAAAGTGGACATTTTCATTGTCAGCTTCTTAATTTCCACGAGAGAGGGCAGGAAGCTAAATCAGCTGGCTTGGTCCCACGGCAGGGGTTTGAACCCCGCTGAGGGGAGCCTGCCTTTCAATTGTGGGGCTGCCTCAGGGGCCTTTGATTTTGCATTGACGGGATGGTTGTACCACTCACCTTCTAAACCAAGACACCTTTGAGAGAGAAACAGGTGCTCCTACCGTGACCCCAGGATCGCAGGGATGGGGCTGTCTACCTGCAGCGCTGAGGCCAGGCTCAGGCCGACGGGCTGCAGGCAAAATGCATGTGTTTCTTGCTGTGTAACAAATGCCCTTCAAACCTAAGTCCCAGAGATCATGCATTTTGCTCCCAAATCTGCAGTTTGGGCAGGGCTCCCCAGGACCGTCTCATCTCTGTCCATGTGGCATTAGCTCACTCAGCATGGTGGCTGGGGCCCAAGAGTCAGCCTCCCGGGAGAACAAGACAGAGGTGCGTGGACTCCACAGCTGTGAAAAGAAAATCCGTAATGTCGTAATGTAGGTGGTTACATCAGGGCAATGTAAAAAGGAGTTGGGAGGGCAGGGCCTGGGACGGCAGGGGTTGGGAGGGCAGGGCCTGGGACGGCAGGGGCTGGGAGGGCAGGGGCTGGGAGGGCAGGGCCTGGGAGGGGGGGGGGGGGGGGGGGGGGGGCTGGGAGGGCCTCCCACTCCCAGGCTCAAGCGATCCTCCTGCTTCAGCCTTGTGAGTAGCTGGGACTACAGTTGTGAGTCATCACGCCTGGCTGATTAAAATGATTCTTTTTTTTTTTTTTTTTTTTTTAACGGAGAGGGGGCTCTCACTATGTCGCCCAGGCTGGTCTTGAATTCCTAGGCTCAAATGACCAGCTCACCTGGGCCCCACAGAGTGCTGGGATTACAGGCGTGAGCCACTGTGCCCAGCCCAATCCAGCTCACTTCTGCTGTCCTCTGTCAGCAGAGACCCAAAGGCCTGCCCAGGTTCGAGGGGAGCAGACAGAGCCCTGGCTCTTGACGGGGAGAGGCAGGGATGGGGGGCTTGCGGGATAAGAGATGGGGTGGTGGTTGTCGTGGGACCCATCAGCTGCAGGAGGCCTGGGAGATGGCGCTGCTCTTGCAGGGAACATCTGGGTCCTGCGGGACAGCTGCTTCTCCAAAGCGGGTGCACGCCCAGAGATACTGCTCTGCTCACAGGGGTTTGTGCCCGTGCCCTGCCTGCACAGTTTTCTGCAGGCTCTGGAGTAGCAGCCATGCACACGGTTTCTGCTTCCTCTTTCTTGACATGCACTAGCCTAGCCTGTGGGTGCCAGGACCCCACATGCTCTCGGTTCCTCTCTGGATGAGTGAACCCAGGTGGCCGTAACAGAAGGCCTCAGCCTGGGTGGCTGAGACAACAGACATTTCCTCACAACTCTGGAGCCTGGAAGTCCGAGATCACGGTGCTGTGATGTCAGTGCTGGCTTCCGGTGAAACCCTTCTCCTGGCCTTGCTGCGTCCACCCCGGAGGGTGGGGGGAGCTCCTCCTCCTCCTGGAAGGCCATGGCCCTGTTGGATTGGAGCCCACCCTTATGACCTCGTAAAGGTCAGTCTGTTTCCAAATCGGTCACATTGGGGGTTGTGGTTTGACATAAGGGTTTTAGGGTCACACTTTAGTCCACAGCACCCTCCCACCTCCCTGGCTGCCCCAGCTCTGCCTCTGCCACCCCCTCCTCTCCCTGGCACTTGCCTCCTCTCCCCTCTGGAGAGGGGCTGCGCCCCTTCTCATCTGTGAAGACCCCTGAGTGCGCTGAACCCAGCAGGTCCTGCCCTGCCTCCGGCTCCTGAGCTCTCTGCGGCATCCGCCCCCGACCTCCCAGCCCTCCACCTGCAAGTCCTCGGAAACACACAACTGAAGAGGCTGAAAGAGCTGTGACTCGCCGCCCGCCCCACCATCTGCTCCTGCCTCCCGGGGCACCCCACCGCTTTGTCCGGAATCGCCCTGCCTTCCTCCACTGCTCACCACCTCCCCTGCCACCACCAGGCCCAGGGGCCGAAATCGTTCTACGTGCTCTGCGTCCCTCCTCTCTGGCCTGAGGGCAGTCTGCTCCCAGGGGAGCTGGCAGGGTGCTGGTCAGCCACAGATGCAATCCGGCCACGGCTCCCGCCTCCCTGCACGTTACAAACATGCAGCCATTTTCCTGCTGTTAGAGTGAAGTTCCGAACCACAGCCCTGAGGCCCCGTCCCACGTGGTCCCGCTGCCACCAGCCTCGTCTCAGACCCCTCTCGGGCTCCAGCCGCCCTGACTCCAGAGCCAGGCATGTGCCTCTTCCCGCCATCCCCAGGCCCTTTGCACGTTCGGCCCCTACTGCCCGAGTGCTCACCACGGCTCCGGTTCAATCTGACACTCTATTTTTTCCTTGGAGAGTTAAGTGGAAGTTATATGCTTTATTTCTATTCTGAAATAGCCACACAGGGATTTGAACAAGTATATTTAGAATAAAAGATAGCTGGCATCTCCATCCTCCTCCCGATAGATCCCGCCCCTCCTGGCTCAGCGATCATTACGACTGCACAGTATGAAGGCCTATCTTGCCTTTCTTATCCTTCGATTTCAGCAGGACTTAGCTGCACACAGCCCACGCCTGGTGAGGTGTGCACACGTTTGCCCTACTCTTCCTGGCAGCCCAGGCGCCCCTTCTTTCTGAGTTGTATTCTGTGGAGGCCCCTCTGCTAAGGAGCTGGGTGCCGGTGCAGTCATTTTGCTGATCTGCTGCCTTTTCTCCCACACCCACGGTGGGAGTGGAGGGGTGTGCGGTCCGGCTGCTGGCTCTGCCTCAGCACTTCGGAGGCGTCCTCTGCTTCTGCACTCGCCGTTCGCAGGGTCTGCCTCCAGCAGCTCTCCTTCAGCTGAGCGTCTGTACCAAGGCACAGCTAGCTGTGGGCTGCTTTCATTCCTCCTGCTTGAGAGTGCTGCACTCTTGAGGCTGAAGTTTCCATATTTTATCAGTTCTGGAAAATTCTCAGCCATATTGCCAGGGAGCCAACGGGCTTCCCATTTTATCTATTTCTACCTCCTGGAATTCTTTCTCTTTTCTTCTTTTCTTTTCCTTCCTTCTTCCCTCCCCTCCCCTCCCCTCCCCTCCCCCCCCCTCCCTCCCCCCTTTCCTTCTTTCTTTTTTTTTTTTGAGACAGGGACTCACTCTGTCACCCAGGCTGGAGTGCAGTGGCATGATCTCAGCTCACTGCAACCTCCACCTCCTGGATTCAAGCGATTCCCCCACCTTAGCCTTCTATGTAGCTGGGATTACAGGCACCTACCATCATGCCTGGCTAATTTTTGTATTTTTAGTAGAGACAGGTTTTCACCATGTTGGCCAGGCTGGTCTCGAACTCCTGGCCTCAAGTGATCCACCTGCCTTGGCCTCCCAAAGTGCTGGGATTACAGGCGTGAGCCACCGTGCCCAGCCCTTTCTGGAATTTTGATCAGAAGTTCAGTAAACCTTCTTCCCAATCTCTCCTACATCTTAACCTCTTCTGACGCCCCTTAACACCTCCTTATCTGTCTGTGCCGATCGGGGGTGGTCTCAGTCTCCCCTACTGATTCCTCGCTTCCCTCTTCATCCGCATCAAATCTGCCGCCAGACCAAACACCTGAGGGTTTGTTCCCACAGCATCGTCCCATTTCAAGTGGACGGCTCAAGGTCAGTGGCAGTAAGGACATTCACATTGCTGTGCACCCAATCTCCAGAACTTTTTCACCTTCCCAGGCTGAAATTCTGAGACGTTAAACACAACTCCCACATTCTCCTCCCCCAGCCCTGGCACCCTCCGTTCTGCTTCCGGCTCTTCGGTTTTGACTGCTCTGGGAGCCGGACACATGTGGAGCTGGGAAGCATTTGCCCTTTTGTGTCTGGTGATTTCACTTTAATGCCTTCAGGCTTACCTGTGTGGGAGCCTGTGTCGGGATTTTTTTTTTTTTTTAAGGCTGGATAATATTCCCTTTTATGGGTATGACACTTTTTTCTTTTAGAGACAGGGTCTCACTGGGTCGCCCAGGGTGGAGTGAAGTGGCGCCTTATGGCTCACTGCAGCCTCGGCCTCCCGGGGCGCCAGCAGTCCTCCCACTTCAGCCTCCTGAGCAGCCGGGACTACAGGTGCACACTGCCATGCCCAGCTAATTTTCGTATTTTTTGTGTGATGGGTTTTCACCTGTTGGCCAGGCTGGTCTTGCACTCCTGAGTTCAAGTGATCACCCACCTTGGCCTTCCACGTGTGGGGATTATAGGCATGAGGCACCGCGCCTGGCCTGGATATGCCATGTCCATCCATCCACCACGCCCATCCTGGACACACACCTCTTCCATCCACCGTGCCTGCCCTGGATACACCGCGTCCATCCATCCACCGCACCCGGCCTGCGTACACC